TGTGGCGAATGCAAGTGGTGCCGGGGAAGTGCCTTCATCGAGTGCAGAAGATGTGTTTAGTTCAGCCGAACGAGACTTAACGGTGGCGGTAGCCAAGGCGTATGAACTGCTTCTGGAGAGAAAAAGTTGTTTGTCTGTATTGGAGGAAGAAATAAAATTGTGCGATGACAATTCTTTGCGTGCTAAAGAAACAGCCACAAATATGGTCAGTCGTGTTGAAGAGATTAAGAAGGAAACGAAAGGAGGTGAACTTGATGTCGATGGTGCTGTGATTGAGGGTCTTAAAAAACAAGTCCAGGATGCTAAGAAAACAATAGAAAAATACGAACATGCTGTCGCTGATACTACGTTTTTTGTCAGTAATAAAAGGCACGCGAAAAAGCCTTGTTGGGTTTCCCGTGGTAACGATAATGACGTGGTAAGGCAAGTTAAACGGAAACATTTCTATTATTTAACTCTACGAGAGGAGGAGGAATATACGACACCAGAAAGAAAAGCACTCACTGCAAACAGTACTAAAACATCTGAAGAGTTGTCTACTCTCAACAATAAACTCTTGGATACTTTACGGCGGGGTCGTGTTGCCAAGAAGAATGCTGAAACACAAATGAAGAAATCGGGCGAGGCATTGAAAAAATCACTTAAAGAACTCGGGGAAATTGAACGAAAACTCAAAGCTAAAAAAGAGAAGGAAAACCTCGAAAGGGTTGGAGATGAAGTCGAAACGATTGCAGCAGTACGCAAGGAAAAACCTGATGGGGTCACAGCAGAAAGCGAACCGAACATCACAAATGCACAAAAGGAACCAAAAATTACAGAAATTAAGGATAATCAGAAGGGGGCTGAAGAAGAAGTGACTCCTCCAATTGAGAAGGAGGAGAAAAGGGCTGAAGAAGGGGCAGGAATGAAGAGTGAAGAAGAGGAGAAAAGGGCTGAAGAACGGACAGGAATGAAGGGTGAAGAAGAGGAGAAGAGGGAAAGTGTTAAAGCAGAGAAGGGAGACGAAGAAAAAAGAAAAGAACTGGAGATACTGGCTGCACAAGAACGAGCGAAAAGAGCTAAAAATGAACAGTATAGATTGGCTGCAGAAGAATGGGAGAAACGAGTTAAAGAGGACCTGGAGAGACTGGCTGCACAAGAACGAGCGAAAAGAGCTAAACATGAACAGTATAGATTGGCTGCAGAAGAATGGGAGAAAAGAGTTAAAGAGGACCTGGAGAGACTGGTTACAAAGGAACGGGCGAAAAGGGCAAAAGAGAAAGAAGAGACTACCACAGCAGGAAGCGTGGCGGAAAGCAATAAAGACAACGATAATATGATCGGAAAACAAACAACTGAAACTCCTAAAAAACCGAATGAAAGATTAACGCCAGTATCAGATGCTCCACGCAGTCGTTCTCTCTCACCGAATCACCCCAAAAAGAAAGATGGCACTGACAGTCCTGCATTGGTGCACAGTCCCTTACTGCTGCTGCTGCTGTGTGTGCTGGGCTGCACTCTCGTGTGCTGATCGGTGTTCCCATGGCACAGCTGCACAGTTAACCTTTGTTTGACTAGACACAGGCGCATTGTAAGGACACTGTTCTTTTTATTGAATTTTAATGTTTCTTTTTTTCTTTTTCAGTTCGATAAATCTTTTGTTTGTATTATTTACTGAACAAATCTATTGGGCTACTGTGGTACTCAACACATGACAAACCATCATTTTGTGAGGGGAGTGTACTCTTTGTTTGTTCGCATTATTATCTGGGCACTGCTGTGCCGCCGTTCACTGTGCCCGCCTAATAAAGTGTGTGTTCCGTGATATGACTAACTATTGCTTTTACCCATGGAATGGGATACAATCCCAATAATATTGTGATTGCTGTGCCTGAAATGTGAAGAATGGCAGGAGGTTCAACACACACAAACACGCACACTACCAACCCTCCTTCTCTTTGTGTGTGTGTGGACTGTCATCATGTGTACATCATTCCCACTGCTCGCCCTGTACGAAAGACACACACACACACACACTGCAGGGAATTGTGTTCTTGCCCCCTGAACATGGTCACATGGTGATCATTGAATTCGTTTCTTGCTTGTTTTCATTTTATTGTGTTTCCCTGTGTGGTGTGGTGCTTTCTGTGTGTGTGTTTTCTCTTCAGGATTAAATTGCACTCTGTTTGCAGCTATTAGTTTCTCTTTTTTCGATTCGTATATGAATTCTGTGTTTTGTGTGTTTATTTGTATAAAATAATACTTTGCTTTTTCATTATTTACAAACTAATGGGACAATATGAATAATAAAGACATGAAAACTATACTTTTACAATTTAATACGTACATGTTGAGATCTTAAAGTGAGCATTGCTGTGTCCAGGCATCGTAGTCACAGTAAGTCATGAATTTCTATTTTATTATTTTTGCACTATTATTGTGTCTGCCTCACGCAGTCACTCCTTTTTTTGCATTTTTATTATGGTAAAAAGATTGGTGGGTTGTAGGTGTTTGAGTGCCCCTCTGTTGTGTGTTTCTTTGTGTGTTTGGGTTGCTACTCGCACCGCCCACGTAATGAAAACACATTTCTTTGTTCTCGCCT